GGGAACCTTTTCCTTTGTACACGAACAGTGTATTTTAACCATTTATTATGTAGTATCACAGAGCTGAAGTATTAACTGTTAAGTGTCATTAAAGAATCATTTTCTACATGGCGTCTCGGGGCATGCGAATCTGAAATTAGTGGCACCACACAATAATTATTGTGCAAAGTAGTGGTAAATAGTTCAAATGAGGGGTTTCATAGACACCACTAAACAAATGAGTGGAAAATGTGTGTAGACTCTGTGGTCAACATTTCCACTCGTACATTTTTAGTTAAATGGGAAACTTTTGAGACTGAGTACTTATGATCAAATAAAAACACCAGCTATTTTTCTCCTTCTAGTACGTAGATTCAAGGTTTGTAACTGCCATTTTTAAAATGAAAAGTATCTTCTAAATATCGTCTCCTCCACCAGCTAACAGCTACTTTGTCTTGTAGTCACATACAGGCTGGGGCTGGGTGGCCCGGCGTGAGTGCCGTGAGTAACGGAGGCGTGGTGGAGCCTGCGCAGGGAGTCAACGGGACCGTGCTAGCCAACCAGTCCAGCATGGGCACTGCAGGATACCACACACACTGATGGAGCGACGGACAACTCTAGCACTCCACTGCGGCCGCAGCAGGGATCTACACACGACCCCCACCCCATTCTTAGACACCCATCAAGATGCCTGGCCTGGGGAGGGGGTGTGCCATTTTTTTCCTGACCCTCCCCACCCGCCACGTGTTATTTTCCTTTAAGACTTTAAGGCAGATCTTGCTCGTCATCGCGGGGTCTCGAGTTGCCCTACACTGGGATTAAACAACAAACGTGTTCAGACACATTAACACCCACCCACATAAATCCACAAGTCTTCGGCCTGGTGTCCGACCGACTTATTAGAAGAGGACTATGCCATTTTTAAGTCAAAGTACTATAAATCAATAAAATCAACAATAACCAACTTTTCCATTTTGCTTTTTTTTTGGTTTGTTTAAAGCGTTTTCAGCTGCTCATTTTGTAATATATGAAGCTTTGCCTTTTTCTTTTTTTTGGACTTGCCATTTTAAAAGCAAAATTTTGTTGAGAGGAGTGATGACACCAATGAATCGTGTGAAACTTTTTTTTTGTTTGTTTATAAAATGAATAAAATGGATGTCAGTTGTATTTTTTTAATTAGACATTCAATTTCTCAAACTGAACCAATTGCAGGGATGACTGCCACATTTTTTTCCTTAAAGGCAGATGAATATTGCACAATATTAATACGTTTTCACAAGAATTTGATGTTACGCAAATTTTAGGTATTTTAAATTGTTTTGCATTACACTTTTTTTTTTTTGAGGGCTTATAAGTATGCCATTCTGTATGTAAATAACCAAACAACTGTTGGGACGCTATGTAAAGACAATTCAGATGTTGATTATGGATGCTTGCTTGCTTTTTTTTTTGTAGGTAGGTGGGAGGGACTGTGGGTGGTGAAGGGGTTTTGGGCTTCATCGCAATTATCCTTCAGCATTAGTGGCTCTGTTAAATGCTGATCCATGCGGTTGTAAGGATTCTTCCAGAGAACTCATGGAGAAGAATTTGCTGCCTTGCGCTGCAACGAACATTTAGTTAGAATTGCGATAATTCTGTGTATAAAATTGAAATGTTGACTTTTTTTTTTTTTAAATGAAGTATTTGGTATCAAGACAAGAAACCTGAATGGATCAGAATTTTGCACTGTTGCCCATTGGAGTTTTAAAAGACGAGACCAATTATGTTGCCTTATTTGAGTTGATTTCATTCGAAGAAACTGATGTTAATGAAATATAGGCAGTGCCTACGAATACATTGAGACCTTGTGTTTTGAGGGATTTTTTAAAATAATCATCCTTTTATTACATGTCCTTGCTTTGTCCAATTAAAATACAGATGCGAACCAACATTTCTGTCTCCCGTTATGTCCCGTCTTTGAACTGGATGGTCTTACACTACATACTGGTGTTGCTAATTAGAAAAAAAAAGTTTTTTTTAGGGGCAAAATTGTTGGTTGTGATGGAAATAAGTAGGTTATTAATAAAAAAAAATGTAAATGAAAATCTGCATGAAAATTGAAGTAGCAAAATAACTGAAGGTATGGTAAGAAGTTGCAAAAAGATAACGATCATGTAAAAGATATGTTATTGTCTAATTATTATACAAGTACTTTAAACGATCTAATGTCAAGCTACCAAAGAGAAATAATTATTTCCAGAATGTTAATGAGCTAGTAAATAATGTATGCTTTTGATTGGTCGTTCTGTGGCCAATCGGGAAGCTCGTTACAGCCGCAGCGGAGAGTCTGTTTGTAAGGAGAAATGGCGACGGTTGCTGGAGCTCTGAAGTGAAATCCTCCGCCGAATCTGACCACTGAGTGCCGGGAAAGCGCCGCTGTAGAGGTCGGCCTGTCTCTCATCATCTATCCATTCACTATCGCACAGCTAATGTTTAACTCAAATCAGTCCCGATGAATCGATGTCATTAGAATGCTTTATCAATATAATACTGTAGTACTGTATAATTGCATGTCAATGACATTTTCATATCATTTGTGCAAATGTGCAAGTGTCTTCTGGAAGAATTAAAAAAAAAAAAATTATTGAATGTTTACCGTGTTTTTGTCTTCGTTATTTAAAATTACATCATGAAGTATGTACTAAAACTACTCATTTTAAATGGATCTATCGTCATTCATTACATAGGCTAAAGAGTTATTGCCTAGGAACTTTACAATTAGAAATTACACTAACCAAATAAAGCACAATGGTTTTCTGAATATGGTACTGTAAATAGGTATTTAGACACGTGCCAATCCAACACCAGGGTTGTTTGGACATATACAACGTATGTGGGTCAAAGGCGTCACCATTTTGGTGTCCGCATCAAATTACATTTACAAAAGTCATTTTAAATGCATAAAAACCATCTTAAATGCAAGTAAATTGTCTACTTTCATATTTCAAATAACTTTTGTGACAATAAAATGTCAAAATATGGGGGAAATAATGTTCTAAAGTGTAAAATTGACATTCAGCCTAATGGTCCGGACTTTGATTTTACCAATAACTTTTTAAATAAACATAAAATACCAAGTTAAAAAATATATTTGTTGTCTTGGCATTTTCAAGTAAGTACTGGCTGTGTAATATTAAAAGGACAATTTCTTATTGTTTTTTTTAAGTATTTAAATGGACAGGGGACTTTTGTCCCGAAAATGCAGTTTATCAGATGTCATTCAGTGTAACAGGAATAAGAAGTTATTCTGAAATCATATAACAAAACTGATAGTCATTCGGCAGTCTGTGACCATTAAATGGCACCTGGAAGACCGTGTGGTGCTGCAGAAAAGTGAGTTTTCACTAGGCACTGTAAAAAGCCAAAAAGCTAATAAAATAAGTGTGGACCCAGTAGCTTGGGTGGCACTCTTAAAGCCCGTTCACACCAAGAACAATAACTATAAAATAACTATAACAGTAAGTATCTTAGCCTCCACACCGATGAACAATAGCACTGTTCATTCTAAGCATGTGCTGCAGATTTGTTGTCAGCTCTTTAAAGTTGAATGAATTCTAATTGACTGTCAATGCTTTTATCATTCATCAGCTGAAAAAAAAAATCCAACAATATAAAAGAGATTCCAACAATATCGTTTTTCTGTGCAGTTATCGTTAGTTGTGCTGTAGAATCTGCTGTTCTTTTATACAGAAGGGTTTTTCCCCCAACTTTTTTTTTTTTTTTTTCTTATCTTTATCTTTATCTTTATCCTTACCGTACTTGGTGTGAACGTGCCTTTAGCCAGGAAAAGAGAAAGATATTGAGGATTGTAATTGTTGGAATAACAGCTTGCCAATAATTCTGGGCTCACTACAATATGTCAGTAGTTCAAGAGAGATCACTGAGGCCCACCCCAAATACTCATCCTGATAATGTAATTTATTTTTGCAAACAGAAAGTATTAATAAATGTGGCTGCAAGCAGGAATTTTTGAGGCCGAGCAAGTCAGAAACCAAGTGACAAGCTAAGCAAGCATGGCAGGGGAGCATCAGGAAAATGCTTATTATATTTCAACATCTGTTTCTGCAGTCATTTACTCAGAATTATTATTAAAACTAATTTAATGACACGGATTAATACTAAAAATATTTCAGTTATGGGAACAATGGCAATGTTATCTCTCTTTTTGGCAAATCGTCATTCAGAGTAACAAACCATGGTCATTCAGTGTAACACATATTTATGTAAAAATGAAACAATATACTTATTCTAACATGTACTTATAAAAATACAAATAAGAATATATGATCATACTAAATTTTAATATATTTTAAATGATTTTCACTTCCTTACAAAAACTTCTTGCTGGCAAATTGGAAAACATAGTGGTTTGAAGGACATTAGCAAAGTATAAAGATTTAAAAATTAAAGTTAATTGATATTTGAGGGCTGCACTGTGATGCTTAAATAGTATTTTAATATGTCATCAAATGATTCATGTTTTAAATAGGCCTAATAAGATTTTTTGGTATATAAATATTGTTACACTGAATGACATTTTAGTGCGTGTCTTCTGTCAAACATGGTAAAAAATTCATGATAATAATAATTTTTTGTTCAAAAAAATATAAACGTAAACAGGACACATTCTAATGCATGGGGAAAAACTAAACGTAAAGCTGTATTGCACTTTTATTTTTTTGATGCTTGAAACACCCTTTTCGTCTTTGACCCATATATATATATA